ACTAGTCAGGAGGTTTTGAGATTTGTGGGAGAATGGTGATTAAGTCTTTTTCTTCTTTTTGCAATTATATTGCTTAATGTCTAATTATTAAGTTTTAAATTGTGTAATCACATGGAAATAAATAGGAGCCTTGCTAAAACTGATTGTACGCAATGGTTGCGTGGTTATGGTAATGGCTCTGCGTGCAACTATCCTAGCAACATATGTCAGTCTGAAGACGATTATTGGAATTGGACCTCCGAGTATAAAAGCTCTTTGATGCAATACGCATCAGCACAAATGGACGCTTATGAAGCCGGGTAAACCTTGAATTTATACATTATACTATACATATATTTATTATTATTGATTATTAATTATTCTGTTGCCAATAAAAAAGGATTGGTTGGGCCTTCTGGACTTTCAAGACTGAAAGTTCCGCACATTGGAACTTTATGCTTGCAGTTGAACAAGGTTGGATACCACTTACTTATAAGCAACGAACATATGATTGTTCTTGAAATTTTGAAATTTTATTAAAAAACAATGCTAAATTTGTTTGATTATTACGTTTATACTTTCCTCAATTTATATAATGAACCTATTTGTTGTATGTACTAAATTTTTTTAAAAATCAAGGAATTTCCAATATATCCAATATTATTATATTCAAGAAATTTAGACATAATTCAACTTGCAATATTTTTCGAATCTGGTTAAGGAATTTGTAATTCATTTTTCAATCACAGAACAATGCGTTTAAGGGCAATTTTTCCGTAAAAAAAAAACACCTATATAAAAAATTGATTTTTGTTGGATACTTTACTCTTAAGGGTGGGAAATGGTTCCAAAAAGACAAGGTCTTGAACAGTTCGTTCCTAAAAAACCTTTCTAAAAGACCTAATTTCCACAAACGGTTTATTGTTTCGCTTTTAATTTGGAATTTTGGCATTTGTTCTGTAATACACGTAGTAGCACCAATGATAACATACAACCCTCATGATATAATTCAAACTTAATTTGAACAATTTCAACTAGTACTTTTATTGAACGGAAAAATAGGACCGAATATGTTCTACAGTAAAGCAGTATTTAAAAATAGCACAGCTAAAAAAAAAAAAAAAATAAAAGAAAAAATAACGCAGCATAAGGGAGCTTCCGCTTATTACGTAGATATAGCCCCCTTCAGAGTCAGTCATTTGACAATTACAAGTTCTAAAGTAATCAATCGTTTGACAATTGCAAGCTCT